AGAGTTATCATCAAAGCTGGGTTGACTCAGGGACGTCGTACGGACAGAGCCCGGGATCCGATCTCGGAAACTTAACGTACGCTCTACCAAGCCGTCCCTAATTCTAATAAGCTTGTGTCATGAAATTACGGTGCGTTTTAGAAATTTCCCTTTCCCACTACTCCAAAAACCCATAGGCCTATTATACAAAAGTAAAGACACACAAACACACACAAAAGACGCATTTTATATTGCAACTTATCAAGGCACATCAACAGTATCAGCAACATGACGAAAAATGTAACAAATGCAAATTAAAGTTTCCTCAAAAGCTTACACATTCTGGCAACATTGGACGATACTAATTAGCTAATTAAGCCGATGTAATGACAGCACGGTTATCCATCCATACACTAACAAATACACCATGTGTCACTCCAAAGTTATTGTATTACACAGATTATCATATATTTTTTTTAATCTTCGGTTAAACCACTAAACGCACATGAAATCCGCCGTCTATATTCCAGGTAAAGACCATTTTATTGCGTACTATCAGTACTAGTGTAATGGCCGTCCATCTACACCCAGAATACTACCCCACGCCAACCGTCCATTTAAACATTAAAAAAAAACAACATTTTTTTTCAGCCATCAATAGACACCAACAAACACGTCCCACCTCAGCCGTCCATCATCACTTCCCCCCCCCCCACATACACCAGCCCATCACCTACCCACACATACTCCACATCAGCCGTCCATCATCACCCATCACACACCACACACCAGCCGTCAATCATCACTCCCCCCCCCCACATCGGACCGTCCATCATCACCTACCCACACACATACATCAGCCCATCACCTACCCACACACAAACATCAGCCGTCCACCACCACCTACCCACACACGCCACACACCAGCCGTCCATCATCACCTACCCACACACACTCCACCTCAGCTGTCCATAATACACTCCACACCAGGCATCCATCATCACCTACCCACACATCAGCCGTCCATCATCACCTACCCACACACCCCACACCAGCCGTCCATCAAAACCTACCCACACACACACACTCCACATTGGCCGTCCTTCAGCCGTCCATCAAGCCTAATGCATCCGCATCCCGCGTTAATTACAGATGAAAGAGCTTTCAATTAGAGATCAAATTGCTGAGCCAGCACAACTCAGCACGCGACACTGAAAACCCGAGACCCTCACACCTAGGTGAGAAACCCGTGACCTGTGACCTTTCACCTTCGATTCAGCCTGAACTTGAATATTTTAAAAATGTAAAGTTCAAAGCACTCACATTTTAGATCAGACTGAAACGAAATACTGGCATCATACTTGCAGTATAACTTGAATAGTTTTAATGCTAGACATAGCAGAGGCTTGATTCTAAATGTAGTTAAAGAAATCAAGAGGGCATATGTCACACTGGCTATGTAGGGATGAGGTAAATAAGTGCGCCAGAAAATGTTTGCTAGAACTATGCACTAAAAGTTTAAAAAAAAAAGTAAAATTACCTTTTCGAACCTGACAGTCTTGGGGGGGGGGGGGGGGGGGGGGGGGGGGCAAGTGAAGTAGAGTTCACCTGTGCTTCTGTGACCTCGTCATATGAAGGGATAGTGTGGTCAGAACTAGAGTCATCCGCCTTTACCTTCCCTAGCGTGAGCTAGATACCCATCAGACTAGGTGAACTCAGAACGTTCTACTAGCTTGAACCTGCAGTTGAACTCGAGACTTTCGGGTTAGCTAACTAGCGCTCTACAATTAGGCCACTATGTACTAACCATGATATAATAAGTATTAAGGTTTTGGATCTCACGAAACAATACGTTAGTTTTCCACTTCCTAATAGAGTCATATCCAATATCACGAACTACCGTTGTATGTTTTGAATTGTGTTGAATTTTAATGTAATAACATCTCTTTTTACTTCTTTGTTTTCGAACTTTAAAAACCATCGTTATCTCATTTCCCTTAACAATTAGCCCATTTAACCACTTGACCATTCAACCATTACCCAACTTAACCGTTGGTCCCTTCAATGATTAGCCAATTTAGCCGTAACCCCTTTCAATCATTATCCCTTTAACCTTTGGCCCTTTCATCTATTCGCTTCTTTAAAGAGTGACCACATTAAGCTTACTAGTACTTCATTGCATACCACCCTTAAAAAAAACATATCCCACTTTGCCTCAATAAAACTAAAAGATCAGTCCCTGGATGTCAAGACTAAACAGTGCCCCCATTGTCCCACCACACCCATCCTTTACCCCCCCCCCCCCCCCCCCCCCCCCCCCCCCCGTTGAGTTAATCACCCCCAATATCTATATCGTCGCATCTAAATAGTCGGAAAACCGACCCGGAAAATGTAAGGCGCCCTTGGCCGCCGCCCCGCCCTCCCCAGCGTGGGTAGCAACACTTGCTCATGTGACCGAGGGGGGGTAGATCTGGTTACCCCCAGCGGCTGGGTGGTGTGGCGTGCGACAGGGTTTAGAATTACGGTGAAACAATGCAGTGGGGTTGGGTAATGCACAGTGTGGTGGGGGATCTAAAAATAGAGGTACGGGTTAAGCGTGTTAAGAACTATAGAGGAAGGTTAATTTGTTAAGTTTGTTAGAAACTATATGTGAATTGAGTTGTAGCGTGTGTTGTGATCTATAATTAACGTTGTAGTTTTAAAGTGTTATACTTACAGCATATATTCAGGACCCTTTCATCATATATAACAACACCTCAGAGCACATATTGAAGGACCTTTACGTATAACAGCACCTTACAGTACATATTCAGGACCATTACATCACATATGACAGGACCATTACATCACATATGACAGGACCTTATAGCACATAATAGGGGAACCTTACATCATATAGAACGATACATTACAGCACATACTGCAGGACACTTTAATTCACATATTACAGGACCTTACAGTACATATTATGGACCTCACATCACATAAGACAGGACCTTAAAGCACATAATGCAGGACCCTTACATCATATAGAACAGCACCTTACATTACATACCGCATGACCCTTTAATTCACATATTACAGGACCTCACATCATATAAGACACGACCTTACATCACATACGACAGGACCTTACAGCCCATACAACAGGACCTCACATCACATACGACAGGACCTTACAGCCCATACAACAGGACCTTACAGCCCATATAACAGGACCTTACAGCCCATACAACAGGACCTTACAGCCCATACAACAGGACCTTACAGCCCAGTACGCCGGCCAGTCCGCCGTAAAACCTGGAACGTGATTGTCTCCCCGCACGCAACCCCCGCCTTTGATAATTGAACGTTAATTGACAATCAAGATTTAATTAGAAATTCTGAGAAACTGTTCCACGTAAGCCGTGGTAGCTTTTGACCCCCCATCACCCACCTTCCTCTTCTCACCACCCCACCCCATGACTCCCCCCTCCTCCCCAAATCGTCCCCCCCCCCCCCCCTTTTTTTTATAGAGGTGTAGACCGTCGGTCTGAATATGAAATGAACTGGGATTCAAGACTAGGTGCTTTCTGCTACCGTATTCCCCAAGGGATCGTCTGAAAAATTAAAGGGTGGGGATTAATTAATTAATGCAAATGACTATTCTGGATAGCTGATAAGTCTAAGCTTCCTTCAACTCTACTCTCAGTCTATATTTCCAAAAACTCTCAAATAAAAAAACCAAACCTGAGAATAAACGAACCAAATCTGGATTATTTGAACTGAATAAATCAAATATTTATAGACGATGCGTCATACGTCTTTTAATATAAGCAGATTGTTTTAACTACGTTGCCTATAATATATGTTAATATTATTCTAAATACCATCTATTTATTTGCATTAATAGTAATGAGCGCAATAACTCCTACCGATGAATATGATAATGACTTGGATTATCCCGCCGAGAAAAAAAAAGAAAAGATAACTTGTGTCATTATTTAAGTCGGTCGTCACTCTATCGGCGTGTATTTTTCTTAAATTTATTTGAAGTTTTCCCCCCACTTTTCTTAAGACGGCCCCAAATCGCCAATTTCGTCTGCAAGGATGACGACGCAGCCAAGCTATTCGGCGGCCCATGGCTGTTCCCGCCTTGCCTCGCGTCGGCTGAGCGCACGAGAGGGTGCGATATCGCCCCGCGTCCGTCAATGGGCGTCAGCGTGCGGTATGTTAACCTCTCGCCGTGGCCTGCGCCGCATTAGCTGCCACGGAGGTGGATTGTATTACAAATTTTTGTTGGCCCCTTCTCTTGGACGTGCGCGGATGGCGAAGCAAAAAAAAAAAAATGTTACTTCTGAGTTGTACGTGGTATATCAGTATCTTCGATCAGGAATTGTGAAATAAAATTCACAGGAGGTAATGGACCCAAGGATTTTTCTATGACAGGGGGGTATTGTTTAAATTCGTAGATAAACGGATCTTTGATGTTTCATGATGGTCAACTACTTGGACTGAAGTAGCGTGTTAAAAAATGTACGTTAGATATTTTAACAAAGTATCTTAATCTTGTTTTAGTTCTAAGACAAGCGAATAAAGTATCGAATGTCAACTTTATTTATAAAAAAATAATTTTTAGTTACTATTTTAAAATAAAATTAGATCTACATATGTAGCTATTTTCGACAAATGCAACAAAAATGTATTTGTAAAAAGGCACGTAACTATTCATTTGATCTTGCTGTGTAATTATTTGTACCAAAACTATTTTATAGACCTTATATATTTAATACCTAGATTAGATAAACGTTTAAAAGAGTGCAACTTTATTCAGTTTCAAAATACCGACAGCTAATTTCAGTTTTTTATTTACCCTGAATTCAATAGTTTTCACGTATCAATTTATTGATTTTTAAAATTGCGTTTGAAATATTCGTATTAAAATAGCAATGTTTTTTTAACTAATGACTGAGAAAAAAATAAAATGTTTTCAAATTTTAGGCGGCTTAAAAATGTAACGTAAATTATTTAATCTTACTTTTCAGGAAACAGTTTTAATTATATTATTCTATGAATCCCTTCAAATAAAAACTTATTGAGAGTTTTTCTCATTGAGGATATGATGTCACTACATCATTTGGTAAGTAAGATTAGTTTTTCTAATTAAATTAATCTACACGAGTCGTTGTTTACTGCTCCTCTTCAAAATTTAACACATTCAAATGTTTTAGTTTTCTGTGTTCGTGTTTATAATGTATCGTCATGAATCACACATGTACGTCACAGATTGTGTGTTCTAGTTATGTCAATACAATGACCGTGTAGGCTATACACAGACCAGTGTGTTCACATAAAGATCACATGCCTTTATACAGAGGAATTGTTCGTGCCGGCAATCACATCTAGATAGGCCTATCATATTTCACATTTCAACTAAATATCATATTTCACATCACAACCAAATATCATATTTCAGATCATGACTAAATATCATTTTTCAGATCACAACCAAATATCATATTTCACATCACAACCAAATATCATATTTCAGATCATAACTAAAAATCATATTTCACATCACAACTAAATTTCATATTGTGCATCACAAGTAAATTTATTTCTTAATACAAATAAATATCATATTTCACATCCACCTATATATCATGTAAATCACAACAAAATATATATGCCACATCATCACATCACTGATAAATATTATATTTCACATGACAACTAAGTACCATATTCTATATCAAAACCCAACATATTTCACATCGCAACTAAATATCATGATTCACATCAGATATTAATATCATTGGTTGAATCAAGCCTAAATATCATATTTCATATCACCGCTAAATATCACAATTATCGTCTATCATGTTTCATACATGAGTAGATATCATATTTCACATTTCAACTGAACAAATTTCACATCAATACTGAATATGTATTTTGAAAACATCACAACTAATCATCTATTTTACATCTTGATTAATTAATTTCAAGAAATAATTTTCATCTTCTGTCAAATGTATATGTAATATGAACCTTTTAAAAATTGTGCCTAAAATGTATAGTTGGCATTAACCAGCATACAATATATAAATTACTTTAAAATTACCTTAATATAAAACACCTATTTAATTAGCATGTGATTAGAAACACTAATTAGCTTTATGAAATTTGAGACATTAAAGTAATAGATGACATAATTTGGTTCAATGATGCGTTAAATAAATATGTCCAAAAATTAATTACTATGCTAAATCTTATGTTAAATTGAGATATTAAATGAATATGTGACATAATTTAATGAGATGCTAAATGAATGTATAATTATAATTCAATTTTTAAAAAATATTAATGAAAAATAGAAATACAACAACTAAATTAAACGTTAAATGGATGTACTTATTTAAAAAACGGAGCTATTAAATTGTAACTTAGCTGAGTTGTTAATTCTATGAGTGAAAAGTACCTTACCTACCTTTGATCTATTTCTTCCAAGTTTAGTTGTTCTATTTCGTACATCATGATCACGATCGTTGTTGATTTTTTTTTCACAACTCTTGACTTATTTTAAGTTGCTCAAAACGCCTGTGTCTAAATTTGTATTAGGGCTTGACACAGCCAACAAAGCTCTAAAGTTATAACCTATATAACTACAGAGAATTTAAATAGAGCTAAGTTGATTTGTTGGTAGATAAATAAGGTTATAGGGCTAAATATGGGGTTTTTGGAGCTTAAATAAGATTTTAGGGCTAAATATGTTTTTTTTTTAAAAAGGACTATGGGGCTAAATGTGGGGTTTTGGGAGTTTAATTAAGATTATAGGACTAAATATTGGGTTTTTTGGAGTTTAAATAAGATTATAGGGCTAAATATGTTTTTTTTTGGAGTTTAAATAAGATTATAGGGCTAAATATGGGGTTTTTAGAGTTTAAGTAGGATTATAGGGCTAAATTTTGGTTTACTGGAATTGAAATAAGATTATAACGCTAAATATTGGTTTGCTGGAATTGAAATAAGATTATAATGCTAAATATGCGTTTGTTGGTGGCTAAATAAGATCATAGGGCTAAAAAAAGGCTTGTTGGAAGTTTTCCATGTAATCACTTCATCTATTTCACAAAGTACGGCACATATTTATTGAAGATTTTGTATACAGCGTTTCTCTCAGACATTTTTCTCCGGTAAGGGTGGTTGGTTATGCACTTGAAATTTCCGGGGCGGTGGGGGGGGGGGGGGCACTTAAGTTTCCGAGGTGGAGGGAGGGGACAGTAGTTAAAGTATACATTTTCTATATAAATTATTAAATATTTTGTCAATTTCGCCCAAGTGCGGATGTCTTACTTCAAAACACTTGTCGCGACTTCGGAAAAAATACCTCAGTTTGTATGTTAATTTCAACACAATTGTTTCCAATATGTTATTTTTATTTTTTTACGTGAGCTTTATGTGCTGTTTGTCGTAAGTCCTGGGTGCTATGCTAAAGACAATTGAGCGTGGTATTTATGTGAGGAGGTCGCGTTTGAAGCCCACACAAACGTTTTTACTAGCAGTTTGTTCCCGTACGTCCTGTTTATTCTACGAGCCGGGCAGTCGGCGGTTGAGAAAAGAAATTGTTTGAGATTTTTATCTGCGATGTGTTTTTGTATCAATTGAATACGCAGCACGGCGAGGCGAACGTACGTGTGTTCTGGTATTCACATGCAATTCACACACACACATTCACACACACAGTTGAGTCTCCATAAGTGTATTTTACATTTCGCACACACAAAAGGTAACTCGTGTGTTCACAACACTTATGAAGCATGAATGTACACACACACACACACACACATGTAACATGTCACATTCACACACACACACACACATTAACACACTAGCACTCAAACTTACACACACGCCTTCAGAAACTAGGTCCCCTAATAAAGCGTGCAGCGCCCACACTAAAATAGACTAGCTGTTTCAAGAGTTTGAATTTTGACGTTTAAAAAAAAAATGGAGGAGGGTTTCAAATGGTGCCCGGGCAGACACCTGTAAGGGAAGTAACGTTACTAACTGTGTTCGATGGACCGTGACACAGTGCAGCCCTGTCGGTTAGATTAACATTTAGAAATGGCGAAATTACTGTAAACACCTTCATTGAAAACACTTAATTATTATTAATTGTTAATTTTGTTAGACACTCGTATATATATATATATATATATATATATATATATATATATATATATATATATATATATATATATATATATATATATATATATATATATATATATATAAACATACATAGGCCTACATAATTAGAAGTTTTCAATGTGTGTGTTTACTACATTTTCAACATATAAGCCTATACTGTACAAAAAATCTTTTTTGCTAGAAATTATTTGAGAAACATTTTTTGTGGTGTCAAACTCATATTTTTGTCAACATATGATAATTATAACTACTAATTATATTTAAAACATTTAATAAAGAGTTCTATTTCTTCCATTATTACATATATTAACTTTTTAAAATAACTATATTTAACTTGAATTTTTAATATACATTTTTTCAAAATCAGGAATTCATTTCATTATTTATTTTAATCTAAATTCAATTATCATTAATTTGTCAATAGATTTTTAGTCGAATTATGCTCGAATTTGAATAATCAAGCAAATGTCAGAGATTCAAACTTTGTTATAACCATTCTTTATTAATAAAAAAAAAAGAAGAAAAATAATCAAAGAGATTTCTTCAAAATAATTATTTAATGAATTCTTGATAGAATGTAATGGTTAGATATTTTGAGAATAGATAGTTGGCTTTGGATTTTTATCAGAACTGTACAAATATGAGATTTAGGTGTACAAAGAAATGCTTATACGTTATTTGGATTCCAAAACAAATTTTATTGTATTAGATGTCAAAAGATTATATAAGCGTCCTATTGGATTGTTTTTTTTTTTACATGCTAAAACGGTGTCTAACTAATTTAGAAATGCATAAAGAGATATCTGTGAGCGTCGTCTTTGGGGTGCGTCGCTTGCCGAATTTCTACATACACACAAACAAACACAATTATATGTTTTTAACTTATCTGCATGGATATGAGAGTAAGGGACATTTGATTTCAACAACAGTTAAATGAAATATTTTATTTAATTCGTAAATTTTAATAAAAATAGCCCTACCGGTAAAAACACTCGCAATGCCAGTTAGTCCTATGCAGGCATACTCGGCTCTTTTGATCCAGCCGTACAGACTTAGCTCTGTACAGTGTTTCCTCCAGACTTTTTTCTTTGGGGGGGTCACTTAATATTTCGGGGGGGGGGGGGGGGGGGGTGGCTACATTTTTTGGGGGCCGGACATTGGTAAAAGCGTATGTTTTCTATGTAAATTCCATTTCGATGGGGGGGGGGGGGGATGTTCCGGATGGACAGCCCTTTGACCCAGCCAAACAAACTCAAGAGTTTGACCAAGCCGGACATTTTCAGGTTTGACCCAGCCGGACTGACCCAGCCGGACAAACTCAGCCGGACAGACTTAGCCGGACAAACTCAGCACATTTGACCCAACCGGCAGACCGGTTTAAAAAAAAATCTCCCACCCTGCCAGCTGCCTGTCTTCCATAGAATTCATCAAAAGATTAATCGAGCAAGGATGGTCCGGCTTCGCCACATTTTTACCGTAAACCTTCTTTTTTCACGTTTTTTTTATTTTTATTTCAAACCGACACGGGCTATCGCAAACGGCAACATCTTTACCTCAACACGTCGAAAACTCCAAACGAAGTCATTCCCTGGCTTCTCCTGTGGTACACAGCACACAATGCTTTTAAAGTCCACGATTTAAATACATCGAAGTTCAAAGGATTTTTTTTCTCTCCGCCAAACGCTAATGAAAAGCTGGATGTAACCGGTATGAAAAGGTGGGGGATACAATTTGCCAGTAGCAGACGACATAGTTGAACGATTTCCGGCCTTGATGTGAGCAATAAAAGGCTCCACTGGGCTCTGAAATTTTTTTTATTCTTTCATTTTTTATCAGCCCCTCACCCCTTTTTTCCACCACCTCCTCTTTAGACACATATTTTTATGCCCTCCAAAAAAAATTACTCCACATATTCTAATGACGTGC